ATTATTCACATAAGACAATTCTCAGTAGCATAACTTGAGGGGGGGGCGGGGGGGGCAACTAGAACAGTAACCCTAAGTACTGCCTTTGGACAGAGGTAACTGCTGAAATAGCTGCTGTCACAGCTAGCCATCACAGCAGCCAGTGTTGCCTTGTGCACCGAAGCTGCCCATGGCAGAACTTCCCTGTTACACCTCTGACAATTCTTCTCACAGTAGATAACCTCCCTTTTTGTCAACTCTGACATTTACTTGATAAGCAGTAAGACAAAATGTCCTTCATCCTTCTAAAACAGATTGTAGCTGAACCATTGCGTTAAATTAACTTTGCATTTAGAGACCGCATGTTTTGTAACTAATAACTGCATTTTGTTGTTTATGGAGACTTTTCTAATGATCAGTAAAATATGTATGGAAACTTACAATGTGTCCAACATTTACCTGCCAGCTTATGATTCAAAGGTTGAAAAAATATTTTATACAATTGAAAGTTTTTCGCATGTAGGCTGGATGCTGTACTGTCATCTTTGTATACTTATCTTGTGAGCATCTGCTTAGGAAATAAAAGAACATGCTACTTTGACAACCCAGAAAGTGCTATAAAAAGCCTGTTGCTATGTTTAAATGCCTACACTCAGTTACTATGGCAATAAAATTCTCAATGTGATGTAAGAATTGACACAGCTCATTGCCAACCCTTTCTGGGACAGGAAACTTCTTGGGCTGAGAAAATGAAGTATTAGGAAAATGCTCCCTTGTAGTTTCAGACGCCCCTGTTCCATTTTAGTGTAAGCAAGAGACAACCTAAACACGTGGATCCTGAAGAAGAAACATACAGGGGAGGGAAAGAAATGCAGTATTCTGTCATTTCCTGATTTTGTCAAATTCCCTTTTCAGGTTTGGAGGTCTCAACCATTCTGTCATTTTTCCAAACCCATGGGGCAAAGCTGTGTAAGTCATTGTATACAGTGTACTATAAGTTACCTGGATTCCCTTCCAGGCAGCTGCTGGAATCATTCTAAAGCCCAGCTCTGTGCCCACCAACTGCACGACCCCGCATGTATCACCTACTGTTGACTTTCTGTTCCTGACTGAAGAAGCTCTGTCAGCAAAGAGTATTCCAAAATATAGTCCTAGATGCAGGGCCAAATTAACTCTTTAGTGGGCCCTGGGCAAACAAACTTTTGGGCCCTGGGCCGGTCAAGACTCTTCCTCCCCACCCTGTCACTGCTGCACACAGGGAGCAGGGCTCAGAGCCACTGCTAGGAAGCAGCTGCTGTGTTGGCAAGGCTGGCAGAGGGGAAGGGAAAGAAAGGGAGGTGGATGGGGCCATTTGCCCCACTGCCATGGAGGGAAGGACCAGGGCCCCTTGCAGCTCAGGGCTCTAGGCATGTGCCTAGTTTGCCTATGCGTTAATCCAGTCCTGCATAGATGATATTGCGATGTGTGCAGTTTAGTTTGAATGTGGTATCTACAGTCTGTAGCACTCAGTAGCAATAGAAGATGTAGAGAAATGCAATTAACATTTTTATAATGAAGTACGGTTGAGAGGTATGGTATTAAGAATGTAATGGTTGGCAATCTGTATTCTTAAATTGTCAAATACTGAGCAATAATATTTTTGTTTCAGGTTTGTTTTCTTGTTCTAATTTGGTTCCAAATGTCCTTGAGGGTCATATAGTTTATGGACAAACATACATCCCTTAGTATTTAGCTGTATCAGTAACATTTCTATATATGTGCATTTGGAGAACTTTTAACAAAATATGAACACAGAATACTGTGTATAGTCTTCCTCCAAGTGGGAGTTGATACTACATAGATAAACAACAGATACACACACGCATCATCTTTAACGTACAGAAATAAGTAATAGATATTTTTATTTAAAGCATCAAGTCCCTTGTACTGTTAACTTTTAGCCTCTCTAGGATATGGTAGATGTTATTTTATGGTCATTAAGAAAATAACTTCAAATTACACTTCCAGTAATATGACCCAAGTTACAGGGATGTGAGAAGATGATTTATTTTCTTTACCCTTTACACAGATTTCTTGTTTACTTTTCTTCCAAACCTAAATTTCTTTTATTCTTTTGGAAAGTCTGGTAACATTATTTACTTTGATTGACTGACAGGTTGATTGATTGATGTTCTGCCCTTGCCAACAGTAAGAGCACAAGATAACCTATAAAGTAGGAGTATAAACGGGAAAACAAAACAGCTTAATAAAGCATTTCTTCTTCCCTATTTTTTCCTCTGGAGTAGAAAGACATTAATTGTATTCATTTCCCCACTCTCTATTTGTATATTAGGCTTTAACTTGCTCTCTGGAAATGTGAGAGAAACACATGAATCATGGAAGTTTCCCACTAACAACTTTCCAGCGAGTTCACACTAAATTTTAATACTTGTTGATACTGTATTATGCTGGTTTTCTAAAGAGCAGGGCAGAACAGTACTGATGGTATCCTAAACACTTATCTATTTCATAGATTTTTCCACTAAAGCTAGAAAGCCATTTTTAAGCCAGCCAGCCATTTGTAGCTTTCTATAGTAGTTGTTACTGGGAATGGGTTGCAGACTTTGCCCACTCTTGTCATGATGCATGTCAGTCAGGCTCATGGGAATGTCATTGGGGGCAGGTTCTTCCCAGGCTGACTGAATGTCAGCTAGCAAGGGTGGAATTTTAAAGGGGCAGAAGGCCTAACTTGGATGACAGCTATTTGGAGGCTTATCTGGAAAGAATAAAATAAATGAAGGTGATGTTCCCACCCATTAACAAACAGTATTTGGGGATGAGGAAGCCCATAACTAAAAATATGGCTGTTTTCCAGGTTATATGCATGAATTTCTCCCTACCTGGTCTCCTTTACTATTTGTGCCAAAGAAAAGAGGAGCCCTGCTGCTATAGAAATTCCCCTGGGCTCTGCATGAAGGTTGAAGAGAGTACAAAGCTCAGTACAAAGAACTAGGAGCTGCAGAGCTGACAGGAAGAGCAGACTGCTCATCTGTATTTTATCACCTAGACTTTCCTGTAGTTCCCTATGGTACTATTTTGTTGTTCCTTACAGATCTACAGAATACCTGTTCATTTTTCAAAGCAGGATAATTCAATTATCGCAGAGCCAGCAAAGAGGCTTGTGGAGTTCACAGCACACCCATATTATTTTTCTATTATTATTTAGCCCTGTGGTAGGGGACCCCTGGCCTTTTACAACTACTTAATTCCTATGTAGCTGACTTTAGTGGCACTTGTGGATTTCTGTGCACCTGTAGGATGAGGTGCACAGAAATAGTTAAAAACAGTATGGTAAGATGTTTTTCCTTTTAAAATAAGTAAAATATTGTATTTTAATGAGATTGTGATAGTTATTTTTTTCCTCTTGTTCTGAGTTCTGTCAAATTCAGCTAATGGAAAAAAAGTTCCGGTTTGCTACCTAACTCATTAAACTGGTGTCTTTTCTTTTCAACAGGAGGGTCGTGTTTACAGCGCTCCATCAAGAAGCTCATCACCACTTAATTTTCCCTTTCTCACCAGCTGTTCTGGATGCTACCTTGATCATGACCATGCCAGGCTTCACTCTCCATTGATAGGTAATGGAAATATTTGTATCATTTTTAATTATATCTTCAGTCTTTCTTAACTGGCAAGATTGGGCTAAAGCAATTCTTTACTTGGAGTCTCTTTTGACAGCCCTTAAGCAGATGTGTAATACTCCCAGCCATGTTAGCTGGAGTTATGTGGACATAAGGAATACTTTGCACTTACAAAGATCCCCTTTTTTTCAAGTTTTCTTAAGTATGGGGGCCATTCATTAGCAGTTAAGAAATCACTTTAGAATTTTTTTTACCTTATTTTTAGTAAATTATTTATAAGAAAGGCAAATGTATTATTAAGGTTACAAATTAAATATTGTTATGGAATGTTATTAATAAAAAAATAGATCCAATTACTTATCTCACATTCAATCTTATGTCTTCTCTGGCAACTATTGATAGTAGCATATGTATATTCAAGTACAAAATTTGGCTTGGATAGTGTCAGAAGTTAATTAAATTTAAAAATCTTTTTAATCTAAGGTAAGGTATTGCCCTTACCTGTCCAAGGATGATTTCCATTGTTTCCATTGAAGTCCATAGTTGTTTGTGCATTTCTGAAGATATAATTTCTGTTACAAAAACAAGGGGTGTTTATACATGTGCGCTGGGAGTTGGGGGGAGGTCTTTAATTCAACAAGCTTCAGTTAAAGCACCCCCACTGCCATTTTTCAGTGCAGGGGTGCTGATGCACATGCTGTTTGAGTTTGCTGGAGTGCAGTAATTACCACACTCCAGCGAACTCAATTAATCGATTAATTGAGTCTGCTCCAATGTGCTCTAATTACAGCATGTCAGAGGAGCCTTGCTGCACCTGTATAGGTGTCCAAGTGTATGATTCTGCATCTCATGTGCACTGTAAACTCCTATTGATTTGTGGTTGGACTCCCATTGAGTTTGGGTGCATAACAGATGTGACATTGGATTGAGAATTTGCTGAAGGGTAGCCAATTGCTGTCATTCTAGTATCATAAAACAGTAATTGTATGCTTGGTAATCATAGCCACTCCTGAGGCCTAGCCTCACTAAATAAGTGGCTGAAAATGGCCTGGCTTGCAAGATGGTAGCTTTGACCTTACTTGCTTTTAGTAAAGACTTAAAACAAGTAAATATTTTACATTGATAAGAGAGAATTTTAAAATGTTAGTAAATGTTTATTTTCTTAAAAAAAAGAAAAAAAAAAGATTACATCTTATTACTAAAGTTTTTGCATATTCTCAGAATCTTTAATGGGTCAGTTATTTTAAACTCTCCCAAAGCCATTGTAGAATGTAGCACAGTGGAAAAGAAGCCAAACTTCTTGAACATGTCAGAGTTGAACTGTTTACTCCTAGCCTTTCTGAAACACAAAATTCCAGTGCTTTCTGCTGAATTCATGCTGAGAAACCGTAGCATAAATACCGCAATCTTGATATTATTGCACAGACATTAACCAAGACAATTCAACGATTTGGGACACTCAAGTATAGCATCCTCCCCAAATACAGATCTTCTATTCATTGCCTAAACTATGTTGAACACTTGTGGGCCAATTGTGCCCTCAGGTGTACTCATGTAGCCCCACTAAAGTCTGTGTGTGGGTGGGTGGGTGTGTGTGTCCGTGTCCCACTGCAGTGAATACAGAAACTGTATTTGAGGCCTGGGTTGAATCTGGCTTGGGGAGGTTACAGGAATCTAAATGAGGAGTGAAATTGGCCCTTTGTCATTCTGAAAAGACTCATTCAACTACAAGGTGTCTCCCTGCTGCAAAAATAAGGAAGGAAATGTAGTTCTTTACATCCCAGCCAGTTAAGCAAAGGTATGTTCTATATTAAATATTCATGGGGCTGTACAGCACAGTTTTGGTTGTCAGTTGTAATACTTAATTGCTACGTGCTTTTTGGCTTCTGTTAACAAACGTGTTGCCATGCACACCTAGAAAGAGAACACTATTCCATTATCACTTATAATAGAAGGTTATGGCACTATGATTTAGAAATACAAAACTGACTTGATAGGGAAAGAATTTTAGTGTTCCAGTTAATTGCCTATCAATGCCAAATACTGTTGTCTCTGAATCAAAATGAAATTGTCTTTGAATTAATTGACTATAAGGAGTTCAGAGGAAATTTCGTCACCAGAATTAACTTTTAAATTGTAAAATATTTCCTTTAATAAAAAGAAGATAATAGTACATTCAGTAAGTAACTCTGTTCTTTTCAAATAGTAAAATATTCTCCTCCATTTAGGAGAAAAACAACAGAAAGCACAGTGCTGGTTTTAAAAAAACAAGTAGAAATGAATTTTTATGTTGCCATTAAATGCCATGGAAATTAAAATAAACATTGTTCTAACTAAGAAACATGTTTTTTTTTTTTAAAGTTTGTGTTGGAAAAAACATGTGGCTTAGATACAAGTTCTACATAATTTATGATGTCTTTATTGCACAGAGATCAAACTACTTGCAATCTGTGTAATTTGATAGGATAAACTTACATAAATATACACTATATAATTTATTATTTAAGCCAGTATTCTTACTGTTGTTACTTCTCATGCCCCTTTTTGTTAAATGGCTGTTTTCCTCTATGATTTCATATTTTAGATAATAAGAAAAGTAAACCTTGGTCAGTACACACTATAACCTCTCCAGCAGTCTAAGATACATTATAGAATTCATGATTTTTCCTTTTATTTTTTTTTTTTTACTCCATTTGTATTCTCCCCCTTTCCTACTGCTTCCAAATTCCTTCTTGTTGCATACCATCTGGGTGTTTGCCCTATACCCCGTAGGGTATGTATTGTGCATCACTTTTGAGATGCACTGATTTAAACATTGCTTGGTCAATATTGTTTAGTCAGAATCAGTCAAGGGTTTGTTACTTATTACAGAACACCTCAAATGCAGTGGTGTAACTAGGGCAGGTCAACTATTCCAGCCTCTGATTTCTGGAGAGGAGCATAAAAAAAATTGGCTGCCATTGGCAGCCATGCAGTGTTGCTGGCAGTGCAACAGCAACCAGAAGTCACCACTGTCCCCATGCCCTGGGCACCTAACCACATCACTACATCAGTGATCAAAGGTTTTCACAGCAAATGATTAGAACATTTTATTGGCTGAGCATTAACTAGTCACTTCAATCATTCTTGATGGAGAAAGAAAGATGTCTCAAAAGAGGTTATTAAGATTAAACCTGTCTAGTGGCTAGGTAGAGGAGTGGGATATAAACATGGGCAGATCTACGATTTTGAAAAAGGGGGTACACATGGTGTGGTGCATCATGCCATATAATGCAACACACATTTTTCTCAGATAAAAAAAATGACATGCTTTACTAATATGCTATGAGCAAAGAGACAAATGTAACTTTATTGGAATATGTGTTAACTTGCTATTATGTATCAAATGACAACAAACTAGGCAAAATAATCAAGAGATGCTGTTTTATTAATCCTGTAGTCATGACAGTTAAATGTCCATCCCTTTTTCAGATTCATAAAACAATAGAGCCTTCTTGAGCTCCTTGGCAGTGCACCCAGTGCTTCACTGAAAGTTATTTCCACATCTGAGTTACTCGTCACCTGAGTTAATGTTTTTAGCTAGAGTTAAAAACAGTCTGCAACAGTTTTAAATAAGACTTACATTGTCAGGAACAGCTAACAGCAGAATTACAGGAGAAAAGTTGGATTGATTAATGGAATATCAAGATCATTAAAAAGGAGAGGGTTGTTAACAGCCGTGGAATGAAATGTTTAGAAAGAATCAGGAAGATTATAATGAATCATAAAGTCAATTGAGTTGCTTATTACTGCCTGACTAGAAATACTGTTGCTGCTACCAGGCAGCTTGTTTTAAACTTTGGGTGGACCAAAAATCACAGAAGGGTGCAGCTGGACCACTATACCCTCCCTCCCCCCTCCCCTGCTGATCTGCCCCTGGGTATGAGATCTGTTTTCTGTTTCCATTTCCCCCTCCTTGGTACTAATGTCATCGAACAACTAAAAGCAAGTCATTTTATGCCTACTTTTGTATTCAAATGCTTCTGCTAATTTGGGGTGACTCATTTTTGGTCATTCAACTGAATTCACTGAGAGGTTTCATTTTTCAAAAGTTCGAAGAGAGTACTCAATTTCCAGTTACTTTATTTACATATGCTCTCAAAATCAGGGTTTAGGTGCCTTATGTTTCTAAAATTAGTAAACTGCTTGAAAATGTAGGCCTTCATCTTTGTGCCTCATTTCCCATCTGAAAACAGGGATAAAATGTAATTTTAGCATTATTAATGTTTTGAAGCCCAACTCAGTTTTAATTCAGTTCACATTTGCACAGTTATTTAGTGCAAATTTTTACTGATCTTGGTGAAAGTTTTACACTGAGTAAGGTTTTATAATCTTGCCAGTTATTGCTATTAGCTAAAAGCTGCTGAGTAGATAAGAAATTAATAGTATATAATAAATATCCTAATTTTGTTCTAAGTGACTAGCAAAGGAAAACATGTAGGTTTTTTTCCTTTACTTTGTTTTACTAAGAAAACACTGGGAATGTCAAGCATGATGTTTCTTGGTTTTGCTAAAGGTGAGAATTTCTTAGAGTATCTTTTATTGGACCAACAGTATCATTGGTATAGAGTTAGACAAGCTTCAAATGTAAGATATCCTTCAGGTTTGAGGAATAAAAGCCAGCATAGCACAGTAAATACATAGTTGGAAGAGAGGGAAGAGAGATTCGCAGGGGTAGTAGATAAACAATTAGCAGAGGAACTGATTAAGATGAAGGCCTGTCAGAAGGGAGGAGGTTCATTTGCTTGTAACATGTGAGGAGAGGTATCATAAGAATTAGAAGCTTAATCCAACCTTAAAGAAAAGGTTGAGGGAGGCTGCATCTTTTAACAGAATAGCTTTTCTGCCACTGGTTTTTGTTTTCAGGTGCTTGAGATAAGTAGGCAATAACAAATACAAACCAAAACTAAGAATTTAACGGACTCTAGATAGAAGGCATTTCCTTTGTCAGTTAAGCAGCTTTTATGTACTTGGCAGGAGTCCCCTGCAGATCAGGGGTAGCATCCTTGTCTGCCACACAACAGACCTGGGTTTAGTTCCTGAATACTTATACAAATACAGCCATGGAGGCACCAAATGTCTGGACTCAGTCTGGCTTTTGGATTCTGTCTCAGTGGCCTAAAGTGGGGATGAAAAGTCTGGGCAGTCTCCACTCCTCCAAAAAAAACCCTTCTGTCTAGTGTCGGGGAAATTTGATCAGCTACTGTGTAGCACCCATACACCGAAGGGTGTGCTCATACCAAGGAGCACTGATCTCGTCCCTTTTGCTGGGCTCGTTCCTAGCTGCGATCAATAGGCAGAGAATGAGGGAGTGTCGGCAAGATGATTTATTTCTCTGCAGAGGGGGGCTACCCAGAGTCACAAAGACAGAGAGTTCCCCATGAACTGAGTTTCCAGCTTGGTGTTTATACGTTAAGCGTTGCATTGCTACATTGTTGCGCGCGCATTCAGGGGTTTTTTTCCTTGCCGTTACAAAATTACAAAACATGGTACAGAGCAAGCTTGGGCTAGTTGAGACTGGTTTTGCAGTTACACATTACTGTCAGCGAGAAGTACACATCACTTACTGTCAGCAAGAGGCGATCTTTTAATTTTAGGGGAAAAAAGATCATTTGCTTTTTCAAGGGTCATCTGCTTTTTATGATTGTATTGCGGTTTTCTCTTACACTAGCCATGTGCATTGAAAATCTGGGTGACCTCTCATGCATACACCATGATCTAGATGGATAAACAGTTGTCAGACTTGCATGACAGTATCTCAAGTGTCATAATGATATCAGTTCTTCTCTTAACTACGATGCATCTTATCTACACACATTTTTAGCACCTATTTAACCAAACTGGTAGAATAGGTTAGGAACTGCTGACATAGACTGTCAGTGGTACATGTTAACAGATTTATTATAATTACTTTATATGACAAAAATTAGCTGGTGCTACTTAAGGTTGAACTGAAAAAATTGCTGGTGGTACTTAAAGTTGTATCATTTTAAATTGGCGTTGCACAATCTGTCAGAGTCTGGGAACCACTGATCTATGTAAATCAGTGCTTACCCCCTAATGTGGATGTAGTTATACCAACAAACATGTGTCCTGGTAAATTTAGTTTTCAAGGGAACAGGGTAGGCAAGAATCTTTTTCACTTTGGGAATTTAAGGTTACTGTATCAAACTTTATTTTGCTTCAACTTTACAAGAAATGTCTATGAATACCCTTTTACTGTTGTGTTAATCTTGATTTTACAAATTTTGGAGAATGACATAAATATAATCTTTATTTTCAAAGGTTTTTATCTTAAAACACTCTGTTTGAATCACAGAAGCTTTGAATTTAGAATACATTTGGACTCGAGAAAGATGCCGACAGACAGTTCATAACACATTCATCTGGGGTCAGAGACAAGGATCAGAAGACAATGTTTTAAATAAGAAAAGGCATGCCTATAAAACAGAAAATGGAAATAATCATACAAGGTAGAGTGAACATATTTTTATTGTCATTTATGATAGTCTTATTAAATAAAGTCAAAATTTGAACTTACAGTAAAGTTTTATTAGGTGGTACTGTTCACAAAACCATTTAATGTTAAAACATAAAAAGAAAAAATCCATCCTTAGAGTATTATTGAATTAAACAAATAAGTCAATGACAGGGCCAAATTCTGCTCTTAGGTGGTCACTTGTAACTCCAGCATACAAGTAAAGCTTATGGGCCAAGTCCTAAGCAGCCTTGTGCAGGGGGTCTGCAACTCTGGCCCATGGGCCAGATCCAGTCTGCAGAAATATTGGATCGAGCCTACAGAGGTGGGGTTGGGAGCATTTGGTGGTAGGAAGCTTTGCCTAGGCAGCACTGCAGTTGGGTGTTTCACTCCATGCTGCACTGTGGCTGGGCAACAGAAAGCAGCAGCAGCAGGGTGAAGTTGGGTAGCTGTGGTAGCAGAGGCAACTGGGTCATTCTGGCCCTCTGGTCTTGTTCGGTGCTTAACATCTCAGTAGAAATGCTACATAACAGACAGCAGGGGCAGAATGTGGTTTAAGCAGTACATTTTCACATCACTCTCATGCCATATTGGCAGCTTTTGTCCATTATGCCATTTCTCACTGTGGTAAATGCTGTATTCCCTCAGATTTTGGATATGAGGATGCTTTGCCTCTGCCCTCCTGTACTTCCATTACTCTTTCTCAGAGCATGGCACTACTACTCGGGTTTGTTCCATTTTTTCAGGAACAGGTCCCTAAGAGTAAAGCAATTTGACATCTGTGGGAGAGATTGTGTGGAAATGTAAGGTGGTATTATAATATAAATGCCAAGTAGTTGTTAAATACTTGGGTAATGATTTGCATTCTTAGAAAAATCTACTTTTTCACTTAAATTGTTATGCAGAAAAGAACACATGGTGGTTGTTTGTCAGTGAACTATCACACCTGTTTTCCTAAAATCACTGCAGCCTAATAACCTACACCAATTTCAGGTTTTTAAAACTGAAGCAGCCAAATGTTGAACTCAGGACTCAAGCATAGTTCTTATTGATGTCAGTGACTGAGGACATGTGAAAATGTAGGCAAAAGCTGCTAGTCATTTTAAGGCCCATAGTGTTTGGTTGATAAACTTCTTATGCCTTCAGACAACTCCAACAGTTCAGAGGTTAGATATTTAACATTATTTGCACAATGATCTGTGGAAGCACTGCTTCATGCTGTCTTCTAGAAGAAGACACTCCTGGATTAGGTGTGCAATTACAATAATGGGGAGCATATAAATACCTAAACAGCAGAATTATTCCCTCCATAGGGTAAAGCAGTTTCCACTCTGATCTCCAGTATTCACAAGATTTGATATCTAGGGACCTTTACCTGTTTCGTCCTTTGTAGTGGGAAGCTGGAATATGACCAGTAAATTACCTTGGTCAGAGAACATAGAATATTCAGTATATCTTTGCAAAACCTTTCCATGTTCTATAATGAAACCTTCTGAATTCTACATTATGAAATGAAAAAGACGACTAGGGAATCTCAAAACTTCAGTCTATAATCCTGCATAAAATACAGTATCCATGCTGAAATTGTTCTTCTCCTGTTCAATTAACTGTGATACTGAATCTATCAATTACAGATGAACTTGTATGGTGACAAATATTATCAGCTCTGTCTTCAGGTAATTGAGCAATCTCATTGTCACATTCGTATAATTTTTCTTCCACACTCTCTTCAGTGGCTACATGGGGCAAACTCTAACATGGTTTGGGGAGTTAGACTAATTTCATACTCTCATGTACTTGGCCCTAAATGATCTTTGATTTTAGAACTTGATTAGGCTCAGGAAGCAAAGAACATTCATGTTGGAGACCAGTAACTTCACTGTTTGATCATTTTCTGGGATCTGGACTAAGATCCATGTCTGATGGGCTGATGAATAGAGGGCTGAAGTATATATGAGATCTAGAATAGTAACTTTTACCAACTAACCCGGGAATGCTGATTTTCATTTATAATATAATGACAATGTGAATTCTAGAGAAGAAGAGTCAGTGAGAAGTGTAAGTTGATATTAGAGTATCTTAACCAGCCTAATTGTACCACTGATATCAGAAAGCAGTCCCTGTAGTGGGAGTGGTTTAAGTGATTCATCGTCATGGAGGCTGAAGAGATTTTTGTGTGGGCAAGGTTGTGCGGCTGTGTGTATGATGTAGGAAGTCAGGGATGCAAAAATTGGAGGGCCAAATAAAATGAAGAAAGGGAAAAGAGAAAGAAAATAGACTGAGGTGAGTGCAAGCACATACGCATGCAGCAACTCAAATAGAAGTGGTGCAAATTTGAGCCGGGGCTTT